ATTTATACATATCTGTTCAAAAGACCCCATTAGGCAGATGCTGCACTTGCCACATCGGTTAGCACACTCACAGGTCACCACGAGCGCTGATCACTAGTGGCTACGCGACCTCGCAGAAACTCTCCTGCCCATCTCGCGACAGTCCGGTCTGGAAGAGCGTTATTTCCAAGCGCTTCCTCCAATTCCCTGTGACATTATTGGGCATTTCTTCCGAGGAGAAGGGCTATATTGGTGTGACTGTTATGAGCGCTGCTCAAAACGGGTTACATTCATATGGCATGGGGGCAGTCAGACAACTGAGTTCATATTGCTCTCTGTGCTAAATGAGACACTTCTGTTGTTGTGAAAAGGCATTAGTGCAGCAATTATTTCACGCGACAAATAAAATTGTCTGATCTAATAACATTTATTTTAGAAAAAATAGTTGCCATGAATTCTGCCCCAATCCTCGTATACAATTAAAATAATTTAAGAACCTTTGGTACCCCGGGGTGACCGCGCCGATCGTAACTATTTGCTCGACTTCCGTTGTGCTTCCGGGAGTGTATAACATTTAAACTAATCTGTAAATAGATCTGTTTTACTGACAACTCACCAATTCAAAACGTAGCAGATGAGTGAGCAAATGTCACGTTAAGGGACTTTGAGGTTGCATTTGCATGCGCTACGAATTGTTCGTGGTGACGCGGAGGGTGTTACGAAAGGGAACCTGTTATATCCGTCGAATCGATCCTAACAGACGAAGCGAAATGCTTTGGAAATGAGCTGTAGTAACAGTTGACTTTTGAGTTGGAAACTTTTTCAGTTGAAGTCACGATAACGAAAGATTTCAGTTAATCAGATCAAAGGTAGGCAGATTCGAAGAGAGAGAGGGGGTGCTCACTGTAAAACGTTACAGGTACAATACCGCTCTAGGGAGCCAATGAAGCCCTATTTTTTTTATCAAATTTTGGACATTTATTTCATTCATAGGATTTTTATCGTACGAGCCTTTTTTTTCCATTTTACAAGTTTATATATTTTCAAAATTGAAAGTCACTCGCAGGACACTATATTATATCACGCTCTTTCGTTGCGAATTCACTAAGAAAGCAGACTATTATGAAAAGTCAGCGACGAAGAATATAACAGAACTTATATAAATGAACCTATATAATCGATTCTAATAAATAGTAATTTACACGTATGCAGAGTTTTTATACTGTCCCAAAAACCTTCGTACCGGGGCGCGAATTTTCTCTCGGAAGCCCTGATGATTGGTGAAGAACCCTGGTAATAGGAGAAAATACAGAGAGCATGGTGAGTTGTTGAAAGAACACTCTGGCTACAGAAAAAAGACACATTAATGTTGTAATGTATTTATAAAAATAAAACAAAAATGAATGTTATTTTTACAAGTCAAAGAAGGAATATTTTCTGGATTTTAACGTAATGTGTATGTTGTTACGAAGGAATGGTATTTGCTCTACCTGTACAGAATTTCGTGTTTACACCCTCGCAATTTGGTTCTGATTTTCTTCCACGTTTGCCTTTTCGTTCTCCAGTGATTTTAGTCTCGCAAAGTTTCACATTCTCACTTCGATATGTTCCTTTTCATTCCCGAAGTAGTTAAGACCGGAAGAGTGTTATTTTACGGGATCAGCTCGTTTCTTGAATTTTAATTTCTGTATTGTATTTAATTTTTTAGAAATACCTATATTGTACATTGTATGACATGTACATATCCTGACTAATCATACATGGCTTCTGCTGTATTTATGTGACAAATTTATTATTATTATTATTATTATTATTATTATTATTATTATTATTATTTTATTTCCATCATTATTTTCACTACAACAAAGACCAGATTTTGCAGCAATTAATTTGGTTCCCAGCTAATGAAACAACATGCTAAATTCAAATGAACATCCAATTTTATTTTACATTTTCTAAAAGAAATGACAGACTTCAATTTTCAAAAATATGTGAAAAATGAAATGATATAAAGTTTGTCTTAGAATTTCTTAGAAAATTTGCTCTGCCTCTCCCATTAACGGCTTGGCTTATAAAATTCAAATGAGATGCTGATCACATCCTTTTTAGGAGTTACTGATTGGAAATCAACCTTCTATACTTAATCCAAGCATGTAGTAAGCACAATTGTTGAACATTAGATATAAATTCATAAATGAAAAACAAATGTATAGGGTACACGTTCACCATGCTTATATGTGCAAGATATCCTTAATTCAATGTGGGTATATAATTTTAACCTACACAACATGAAGGTTTAGCACCAAAATTTTTTTTGAGAAGTGTATCATCTGTTTAACATTATTTTTCGTTTAATTCAAGGTTTGGCATTTTCGCAGTTACAGAATTTTCTTACCTTACCTCCAATACAAAAAAAAAAAAAAACCCTAATGTTATTTTAAAAATATTTTCATTAGTATTTAGTATTGCAGTTTATTTTTTTTTCTTTATTTTTGCCTCCATGAATATAAAAGTAGTTCTGACAGGCCCATAACCAGCAGAGAGCAAAGATAACCCAGTTATTCTGTCCTTGGGGCACATCTAGCATTAACTGGTTAATTTTTGAAAAAAAAAAACAAACTTAATTACTTTTGAAATTAATGGAAAACCTTATTACTGTGAAAACTCTCTATAAAGAACCTCTTTAAAACAAAAAACTTTCTACAAGACAGACATTTCTTGACTTTGATTCATTTACCACAAATTATATTCCATATAATCAACACCATCTAGATATACAGTATCTAGGTGGTGTTGATATAATACACTCTCCACATTGAAAGAAAGCTCTGGATCCTTTGAGGTTTAAGAAAGAGGATATTCTGTAATTTAAAATATGTTTTTCAAAAGAAACAACTTTCTGTTATGTTCTAAAATATTTAAAAAAAGATTACATTTTGAAAACAATCAAACAGCTGGAAATAATATCGCAATAGTGAAACTTAATTATACTTTTCATTAATTTTTAAAAACATTTAACATCATAGAAATAATGCATATGTGTTGTAATAATCCCATTTCGTTGTAACAGAGCTGTCTGACCCGCATTATTTTTACTTTCCCAGCAGTGGCAGTTTCTCAGGGCAGGTAAGGGAGAAAATGTTTTTACTTCTGGTTGTAATAACAAAATAAAATATTGGCATGGATATTGTGAGGAAAAGTGTGTAATTTTTTAGCTGATACCTATGAGGAAATTTATTTTGAGTTTTAAACTATATACACTTTTAACCAATGTGAAAACAATCACAGTCGCTCTCATGAGGAATCTTCAGCCTTTCCTCCTCTTCTGTGTTATTCTCTCATATCTCACAGTACTCCTGCAGCCAAAACTGGAAACTTAGTTTAATGGAGTTTTATGACAGAATCTTCTCCATTGAATTGCTAAAGACCTAAAGGCTTTTCTTTCAACAAGATAAGAGGCGTCCATAAATTATGAACAGCAAATTTGGAGTATTTTGAATACTCTCTCTCCCCTGTAACGCATAAGGCATCCAGAAAATACGCTTGAACCACCCGCCCCTAAATAATAACTTAATACTTGCAAAAATGAGTGAAAAAAATCTAGTACATTAAAAAAAATTTGTATTCACTTTATTTGTGTTGTATGTTAAAGTTTATGATAATTAAAGTTGGAATTAGTTGGTGATGCTGATTGCACCTAACAATGAAATTAATGACAAGTTGTGAGTGAAGGAAGGACACATTGGCGAGAAAATTTTGAAGACTGTGCACAGGAATGACTCATGGGCGAGAGTCTACTGCAACAATTTAAATGGAGTTTAGTATAAACTACATATCAGTTTTGAATATTTTGTTCGTAATTTTACAGATTTAATACAAAATTAATGAAAAAATATTTCCACTTCTTGTGACAACTTACATCTAATTACTTGAATTTATTTATGTTTTTAAAACAAAATAATTTGTTAATATTTTAATGTTCTAGTATAAGTCTCGAAAAAAGGAAGTATTCCAGCAAATGTTGAAAATTTAAAAAACTAAATATCAACGCGTCCTCAACCCACCCATCCCTCCTCTTCTTCAGTTTTACGTAATTCATGGACATTCCCAAGTCATATGTGACAAGTAATGTCATACTCCAGCATTTCCCCAAGAGCCAGAGCAGACATGTCCAGAACAGCTAACACAGTGTACGTTTGCACTGCAGGCTGACAGAAGCAAAGGGCAAGGTGAACTGAGAGATCTATCTGAAACTTGTTGCAAATCAATGCATAAATTTCAATTTGTTAAACATTTCTTTTGAAGTATGTAATTGAATTATTTCCCCCTCGTCAGAAACATGCATCTATTGCATTCAAGCAACCTTATACTTTCCAGCACTTTTAATTTTAAGCAGCCAAAAATCTTATTTCTGGCTACAGATAAGACCTCCAGGTTATGTTTAAATTGACTGTTATTGTTATTTCCTGATAAAATACATTTCTTGACGAGAAACTCAGTAATATTTGAGCTTCTTAAAGCCCAACTGCTGTAACTCCATTTTCAATTAGGTTGATAATCGTATGCAGGAAGTGGCATGCCACTAGTATAAGATAAGCGTTTCATGTCATTTGCTGAATATGAGTCACAACTAAATTGAAAATACCTATAATGAGCTATAATGGAGACATTTAACAGCAAATTGTCAAAAATCAATATATCCTATTCACATAAGTTTCACCTTAGACCAAAAAAAATTATCTTTGAAAATCATTAAATGCTTTTTCTGCATTAATATAGTTGTTTTGTTATCCATAAAGACAAATGCCTCACTTGGCACTTGATGCTCTCTATCAATATATGCAGGATTGGCTCTCCTACATCTGCACACCACACACCTCATAAAATATTCCAATTATAAATTTATAAAATTCATTCCTACAACATGCTACGAGCAGATGACTGATTATAATGCTATTTCCCCATTATCTCCCTATTTCTCACAGGTAAGGTGGTTTAATAAAGCACATGAACATATGATTTGAAAAATTCAGTTCAAAATAGTATTTTAATTGTGGTTAAATTACTACATGCATCTGCAGATGTTGAAGCAGGCCATGAGATGTGAATTAATACTGTGTATACACTGATATAAAAATTAGCTTTCAAGACAAAGTAGCTACAAGCAAGCAGAAGAAAAAACAGAAAAAAAAAATGGAAGCATGCAGAGCTAACAAATAATACAAATGATGTTTACAAAGAATAATAATCTCCTGACTGTTTTTCTGATACTAAGAAGTATTTTTTGATTCTTGATATTTATTCAATTTTGAAAACAAGGTAGCAAATCCTTTTGCTTCTTAAAATCAACATAAATCAATGTTAATTAGATTCAATTTAAGAGAGAAGACAAAGCACCCACCTATTATCTACCATTCCTTCAATATTGCTGGAAGAAAGGGAAGTTTAAAAATATATCATTGGTAGTCACTGACATAGCAGAGTGGTACCTGGACATCACTGTTCTTCACCTATAGTGAAGATGAAAGGTACAGAGAGTGAAATGTGTGTAGTATTGATCAATCACAAAACCCATTTTAATAAGAACAAATTTGGATAACTTAAATTTGCATAAAAGTTTACTACTTTAAACCAGAAAAAAAAAATGGTCATTCTGTCATTATCCAAAATTAATCAATGGCCATTCTCTACTCCTGTAATCACACACACATCATCATTTAAAACTACAATGCATTTTGAAAACCATACAATACTTTTCATTCATTGAAGACAAATTTTTCAATACAAATTTCGTTCTAATTTTAATTTTTTAAGACATCGGAATACAAAAGAAACAATAATAATTTGTAAATTATCTTTACAAGATACTTGAAGGATGCTTTAAATTTCATAAAAACATTTAAAAACAGATATTTTACACATATTTCATTGGTATAAAAGAGATTCTCCACAAGCTTTATAAAAATATTAAGTGCATTTTCATGTGCAAAATAGAAGACATTGGGATACTTAAATAAAAGTTTCAAAAGAATTCCTTATTATATAAAACAATAAACTATAGATTCATTTCTAGTGCTGCATTTCCTATTACTAACAATGAAGCATTCTGGAATGATGAACCAAATTGTTTCACTAAAATATATTTCTCGCAACACTCACCAAGACTAGAAGTTTAAATCACTATAAATATGCAAATTCTAAGAAAACACTTTGAACATACACAAATTGTCTTGAATCAGAACAATTACAATGATCAAAGGACATAGACTAGATAAGAACAATAAAAAAGAAAATATCTTTGGTAAATAATAAATTGCATATAAAATGAGCACCTGTTTGTTCATTATTATTTTACACCCAGTATAAAATGAAACTATATTTTATGCACTGTAACTTGTATTTTTGAAAGAAGTGTGGATACTTTACATTTCTGAAAATCACTAAAGTGCATTTCAGAACACACAATCACTTTTGTATTAAGTGAAAACTGTTAAGTGTCAAATATTTGTCCAACTTATAATTTTGAATAACATTTTTATAGGGACTTACACTAAAACTATAAAGCATTGTGCTTAAACAAGCATGATCTTTTGCACTGAATTTGATTGATTTACACAAACATCTATTTCATTTTCATCTTCAGTATTTACCTGAACATAATTTGTCATGAGAAAACGTATAAGATAATTTTCAATAAAAAGAAAATATGAGTGCAAAAAATATTCAAACCCTATGTACATTCACTGGGGAGGTACCATAGCTGGCTGGGGAGACATCATGTTACTGCAGCTTGGAGACATAAGGTTACTACACGATGACATGGGAGATGGCAATGGTGATACTTTACACACAATATGTTCACATGCCTGCCCCGGAGGCTGATTTGGGCTTGCTGACGAGGAGTGTGCTTGCTGTTGCTGAGATTGCTGCTGTTGTGATTGGTGTGTTGGAGTCTGTTGGTGTGATGGAATTTGAGGTGGTACAGGAGGCTGGTGGGTTGGTGGTAACACTGTCAATCTCTGCTGAAGCTGTAATTCGGATGCTTCAAGAAGTAACTGCTGTGGTGGTATAGTCACTGTTGGTATAGTGAGAGGACCTGGTGGCACAGGTACACTAGAGGATATCGAAGGAAGCGAAAGTGAGGCAGAAATGACACCAGAAGATGCAGAAGAGACAGCAGCCATTCCTGGACCAGCAAGACCCATCATCCGGTATTTACAGCTTGTGAGAAGATGACGACGCAGGTTTCTGGCCTGGCGCAGCATTGCACCACATAGCGGACACATGCCTGGTTGATCTGAAGCCCCGCGCGCCTTCCCCCCGCCTGACACAGCATTTCCTGGTGCGGGCAGCAAGGCAGCTGCCACAGACACAGACACAAACACACATTACTGCCACTGGCGTAGGCAAGGAGCAAATGAAAGGAATGCAGGATGAGTGGCGACTTAGAAAAGAAATGAACTTATGAGCACTTATTGCAAATGGAAAACTACTGACATTTTTCAATGCAAAGAAATATAAATTATTTAGCTTGTTTGTATGCAAAATAAACTTTCTAACTTTTAGTCCCTTATCCTAAACATAGAAAATTTGTTAAAATGAATATTTTTTCAATATTGTTTAACCTGCACCATTGAACAACATCCAGTATGAATTTTATCATCAGTATAAGCATGCAAGTTGAAATTATTACTTCAATAAACAAGTTTCCTGAATAAATAGTTAAGTGAAAAATTAAACAGCTCTTTTCACATCAAATTTCAATTTAATTGGAATATGTAACTACAAAGGGCTTTCTAAACAGTCTATTAACAGAAAACATTATTGCATACCTACAAAGTGAATGTTTACATTCTTTATGCACAGGACAAAATGTCTGCAATATGGTTTGTTTTGAGTAGAATATTTATGGCCTGTTAAATTCAGAGCTATCAAAAAGAATTGTCCAATGAAATTTGAATAGAGAACTAATACTTGGCCAATAAATCCACATTCCTAGTAAAAGAAACTTTGACAATTAAATTTAGATCAAATATTTTAAATATACTGGCAAGAAAATTTACAAAATACTTTCAGGCAAAAAATTTAGAATATTACGACTTCAGTATCTCAATTTAAAAATTATAAACAAATTTAAATGATCACCTTATCTACGCCATTGGCCTCACCTGGTTGGTTGAATATTTATGCACAACTTTCAAGTGATAAACATGATACAATAACAAAGAGATGTTAAAAAGCTCAACCAGGTGAATATGGTGTTGTGTCTTAAAACTCATACCTCTCTACAAAATTAACATTCAGTACAAACACAAAGTGATTCATTTCCCAGTAAATTTAAATAAAGAATATGTTCTACAAATTTTCTGCCATACAATGACCACACAATACCATAAAAGCTAGTCTCTGGCCATTGATTTCAAATTTGGCAAGGCATTTCAGCATACACAATCATTCACATCAAAATCAAACAAACACCAAAATTGCAGTACAGTTACACCTTTTTCTTTCTAACTTCCTGCTAAGCAGCAGAGGCCAGATCTACTCTTGCATCATGTTCTTACTTTAATACAAGAATAAAAAACGGAATTAGCTGCAATGCAGCTGCACAGTGGTCATATACAGTTGATGAAGAAAAGGCTGCATATTTGTTGCAAAAAATGTTGAATATTCCACTGCTGAATTAGCTCAGGCTTAAAACATAAATAATTAGATCAAAACTAATTTGACCAAAGATCTTGGAAATGAAGAAAATTATGAAATGGTTCCTTATTAAAGTGAGTAAAGGAGTAATAATGTTCATTAAGACATCCCATTTTCTAAGGAACTTGCATGCAAGGTGGAACCATATTTTTTGTTTCTTTTTTTTTTTTTTTTTTTTTTTTTTTTACATTTATTTTTAGTTGAATTTCTGAACAAACATTGAAGAAATATAACATTATTTGAGAGATATTTGTAAGCTTTCACCAATACTTATGGAATAAGGAATTTATTCCAAGTACAATAGCAAATATCTCTTTTGAAATCATTTATTGCTTGCAAACTGAACACGAATCAGGAACATTTTCTTTCCATTCTTTTTACATATGCTTTTTTAAAAATAATTGTAAGGAATGTAATATTTGTATTACTGTGCATCTTGATTTCATAAAAGATAAGAACCACTGTACATACATTGAGTGAGAAGGCTCTGAATATTTCACATAATATAAAAATGTAAAAGGACACAAAATGAAGCACACATATTAAACACAACGGCAACTTTACACCAACAGCTACCAACTGATACGAATAGCATGAATCAATGTCTTGTGATGTTCATAAAAATAGATTAACTCCAAAGCTATCCATGCCACAAACCACAAAACAAATATGCAACATGAAACAAAAAAGTAAGACATGCAACAACAAAAACTACAATTGAAATCATGAAATCTTGTACGTGAATATTTTTATTACAACACCTTAGGAGAATGTCATATTGAAAACATTATCAAAGAATAATATTTCTTTATGAATACAGTTGAAATGTATTTACTTTATTTATAATTATCGTACTATTGGCTGCCATAGATAGCTTGTGGACTTGAATGCAGCTTAACGCATGGATGTTGTTTTCATGCATATGTGGCATGGCTAACACTTCATATCACCATGTATTTGAACTGCAATATCATGCCATCACCCATCCTGGGAAATGAAAATACTACAGAACAGAAGTATGTATTATGACAGGTGGTATGGAAAAGGATGTTCCCAGGAGTACCCTGACAGGTAGATGGGCAGCCATGATCGGGTCACTCTGATTATATAGGTAATGCAATCTTAAATAAATTAATACAAATAAAATATTACTGAACATGTAAATACAAAATGTTTTTTGTACTTACATTTCAACGGTATTTTTTTACCCTTTTCAGACAAGTACCATTCAAATACATTACAATATAAAATTGCAAAAATTCCTAAGCTAATTCTACAATTTCTAAAGAATTCTAATCATGTACTGAAAGAAATTTAGTTTCGAAAGCAAGCACATCACATCAATTGTTTGTGGAACAAATTTGAGCCAGCTCATGCACAACAAATTAACATGCAAGGCACAGAGAGAGAATACATTATCCATTAGAAATGCCATGCTAAATGCTGCAATGCACACACTAATGACAGCAACAAACTAACTACACAGATAATAGTGTGTATACATACAGGAATCATCTGGCTGAGTATTAGTGTCTCCCTCCTCTGTTTTGCGTGGAACATCGGGTATACTTAAAACATCATGCTCTGAAGTCAAAGGCACAGCATCAGACGTCTGTTGATCTAAAGGTCGGTTCTCTGCATCACCTGATAAGCCATCCTGGCGCGCCCACTTGCTTTGAGGTCCTAGAGAATCATTATAAGCTTTTGTTTATGAACTTTATATTTAAAAGTTTTAAAACACATAATGTGTTGAGGGCACTTTACTGAAGAAACACACTTTGTTGTTCTAAGATTCACCAGGCAATCAGACAACTGTCATCAGAACACTGATTACTGATCAGAAGAAACTTGATTACAAAATATCAACTTAAATTTAATTATAAATTATCATTTGCAAATAACAAAACAATTATGAAAATATCAATGAAACGTGAAAGAAAATGAATTCAAAAAATGTTTTTTCACTGAATTCACAAAATTCAACCCTTTGAAAACTACACTAAAACTTAATATTTTAACCAATTTGTGAAATGTAAAAATAAATTTTAACATAACTTAAATAAATTTTGTTACCCACCCTAAAATTACAGCATAGGCAATGAAAATAAATTATCCAAGCATTTTACATATGAATCAAGCTCTTTAAGAGAAATAATTATCATATCACAATTTCAATACAAAAAAATCACTGAAACTACGTTATTTCTCACCAATGAAATTAAATTAGCCACATTTTAGAAAAATATTAACATAAACTACATTTTAAAATATTTTTTCCTTTCCATTAATCCATTGAGCATAAACCAACTGGGAGTTGAATTTCCAAAGTAAGTTTCCATTGTAGACAAATTTACAATTTCCATTGGTTTAATTTTGTACATGATATTTACATACTAACCAAGAATATTCTTCAGAAATAACAAACAGAAATAGAACTTACCTGATGAATTTCTGTGCTTTGGCCTCTTGCGTCGGCGTATTGGCAGAAAGGAGTTTATGACATCACGTGTAAGAGCTTCATGGGCAGATGAAACGTTTGTTATTTCCTCGGGCTTCTGAAAGCAACGGCAATAGAACCATTACATCAAACAGAGAACACACACAATCGTTTTCATACATTACCCTCCATCTACAGATTTTTTGAGATTTTCTCTTGCTTTACTTCAGCATACAAATATATTTTTATAAATTCCAAACATCAAATATGCGTTTGACATTACATAAAGGATGAATAAAAAATGAATGCCCAATAGCAACAATTTCAGATACAGTTAAAAAATATTTCTTTCAATTTAAAACCATTCACAAAAAATATATTTTTGTTTAGTTTGAATAATTATCCAAAAAGATGTTTTATGTCACGAAACTTAAATAATTGCAACATTACAAGAATACAAAACATTCTTTTAACTTTTGAAAAGAATATCAACAAGCTTTTTAAAATTATTTATTACATATTTGAAATTATTTTTTTACTGATAATTTATATGCAATTTTCGTTACTAATTCTTCTCTCAACAACTTCATTACAAAGTACCTGAAATTTTAAAGATCTCAATTACCAATATTCCCCAATTTTGCATTATCAATATTACTCAGTAACTTCATAATCTCCAAGAGAAAATTACCCTGACCTCAGCACTAATGGTCCCTGGTGCCAGGCCTTGGATGTTAAGACAATGTGCAGCTTGTAAAAGAGATGGAAGTTGGTTTGAATCAACGCTCACTTCTCCCCGATACACAAACTCCAGAAGAGCTTCCAGATCTGGGGCAGTAACACCCGCCAGCATAACAACAGGATGCTGGCATGGAGTACTCTACACAAAATACAAAAAAGAACGAAAAATAACAAAATTTCTTTCATAAATGGAACATGAAAAAATAGTTTCTTTATTCAGTAGACCGAATTTGGATGAAACTGCTACTTAAACATTTAAGCTCCACCATGTAATCTGAATATCCATAATGTAAAAGATTTGCCACAAAAGTATGATAATAAAATGCAAATACTTCTCATACACATAAAATTTCTGATTTGCCACTCATACATCTCTAAAAAGGGAGTTATAATTAAAGGTATACCTTCAGCAAATTCAATAAAAATGGACTGGCGGCACAAAGTACAATCTTGTGAGCAGGAAAGCTCCGACCTCCAGCTGCCAAAGTAACATCCACTAAATCTCCGTGACATCTCAACAGCTGGACTGCAGATACCAATGAAGTCCCGAATTCACCCCAGGTTAAGCTGTACAATTGAGTACTGCCCATTTTGTTCTCTTTTTCTCTATAAAAAATACAATGCATAAGGAATAATTGAAAGAAATCAAGTTATTTATAAGGTCAAGGACTGATCTTACTTCATATATTCTCTTATGATATAATTAAATCATAAAAACAAATAATTGATAACTTCATGACACTAGTTCAGTCAAAAATATACAAAATAGATTCCAAAACAAAGCACATGAATGTACTTACCTCCTTCAACACAATATGTACAATACAAAACCGACCGCTCACGCGGTCAATAATATCATCACAGCATACAACAAAGCGTATTTAAATTAAAAACTTTTTTCTCCAATTTAACACACTGTTTTCAGAATTCTACGAGCAACGATCAATGTTTTGACACAAGCTGTCAAATGAAGACAACGCACATACACGTAGTTTTTGTAATCTGCAACTTACAGAGTCCCTACACTAACACAAACCAATTAGTTTAAATTACCAATTGATCTTGCTTACAACAACATTCAACACCGCCTAATTTGCCTTTTAACTAATTAATAAATCGCAAATCGATTACATTTCAATGATCGTACACAAAAATAACTCCCGCCTATCAATAGATTATAGCATGAAAGCAACAAATTAATTTTTGGGAGAATCCTATAGTGGAAAATCACAGAATAAATTATTTCTGCAATGTTCTTTGCAATATTTATAAAATGTTAAAACCTCCAGTAATGACATTTAATGTTAAAGGTTCAGAAATTCAGTATCTGTTTTGATTTTCATTACGGATGGACAGGTTGGCCACTACACGCTCCGGGGGCTCATTGCTTGCTACAACTTCCAGGTCGCGCCACAGTCCAAGGTCTTCTCTAGAAAGAGGAAAAATCAAATCGCCGTAGAAACTTGCAAGGTAAGAGCTGCGAAATCACCGCAGTCGGGACTCTTTAAGCCGAATTGCAAAACCAGAAATTGTTGTCGGCTTTCTGATTAGGCTTCTTTTTTCGAAGGAATAAATAAGGGAGTAGGAGAAAGGAATAAATAAAAAGAACAAAATGGGATGCAACACCATTCACATACAGCGAAAAGTGTTTTATTGAGTAAAAAGTGCTTCAAAAATATATACAACTATGCTCGTTTGAAGAGAATAAAACTAATCAAACTCCAACGCATTACATAATGATAAATGTAAGCACAGCTTATCGAGTTAAGTACGTCGCATTATGAATGATAACACACCAATGCGTCGCTGACGCTAGCGCTTGCCAGTCGCACACTGCAACGTGCCCTAGGCACGGCACCGCGTTGACACTGGCATGAGGCCGCCCGCGGCCTCGCCTCGCACCCCGTCCATGGAGAGTCCTCGCTCGTAGAGGCCGGGGGCATCTGCGGGGTCGACAGGACCCTCACGACTTCTCGCTCGAGTTCGCTTCTTTTGCTCAGATCACTTCTCGTCGGCGTTCTACTTTACGAGCCTCCACTTTTTGATTCAGATCATTACATCAGCTGCGATGCTACGTGACACGTAACACGTCTGTCCACTTCTAGTGGGTCAGAAGCTTCAGGCACCAGCATACGCTTTGTTCTTCTACTTCCGATTCTTAAGGTTCGGAAGTCGTGTGCCTAGATCAAGGTCAAAAAATGTTCGTTTAAACTTTTTTTCTTATGAGAATATCGATGTGTTAATGACAAAAACGGGATACACGACAAGAATAAAGAAAGAAGAAAGTCTCAACATAATGTACATAACTGTAACATAAACTGTACGTAAAAAAAGGACGTGGAGAGTAATACTTTTTTCTCGTAGAATACAAGAGAACCTTTACTGAATACTAACTTAGGCATGCGCACGAGGGGGAGGGGCCAATGGGGTCGTGGCTTCCTGAACATGTTGCAAGGGGCCTCCGTAGCCTTAGTAACGAATTATTTTTTTCCGCATATATGATAATGATTTTCTCCTTTTTAACTTGAGAATTGATGAAATGTTATGCTAGATTAGGGGAAAAGGTTACGTAAATCATCTGCCAATACTGTAAAAGGTTCGACAGAGGAAAGACTGGTTCCTCTACTTTTGAAAATAATATCAATTGTATTTATTTCTTGAATAAAAATTCATAATTATATTCGTAGTATGCTTTATTTATTTATTTGTTCATAAGTACAATACGTCGTCTCTAAATAAAATAGTTTAATGGGAAGGGTCCCCAGAAATGTGTTCGGTCTTGTAGTAGGATGTTGTAGTGGCCTTCTTGTAGGCTGTGCACGCCTATGAGTTCTACCAAGTTTTATCAATTACTATTAAGTATAGTAAGGTATCTAAATTGTATTTAATGAAACATTTTAATACAAAATGCAATATTAAGTGAATTGTTATTTTATTCTTGTATAAAACTGGAGATGGCATTGTCGATTATTTTCATGACCATGCTTACGAAAAAGCTTTCCACGAACTCAGAAAGAGAATAGTTGTGGAATTCTCTTCTGACATTCGTCAATAAATCGCTTCCGAGATGTTTCCAAAGATTACCTCAGAGAGAACAGAATTGCTCAATAGATATAGAATAATAAAATTTGGGATGGAATTATCGACGCTCCATAACGTAATACGTCACCAACACTTAATGCGATTAGAAAGTGTTTTATAAATGTTTGAAAAAATGTTGTTGCAGAACGGTTAGAAGGAAAGGTTCATTAGAGCCAGTCCACAAGAAAAGTGACCCAAAAAAATGTCATTTTGCGAGAGAGCTTGAGCGAAGAAGTTAGTTTTGAGGTCAAAGACAAAGTGGATTACTGTCATGAACATCGGTAGTATTGTGAACAATCATTATGTAAATTTTACTAGCAAAATGTATTTAGTGTGCTATTTTTAAAACATACTATTTTTTTCATGTATCCACTTCCGTGATGCGTCATTTTTGTGGTGCACCGACAGTATCACATTCACTCAAAATTATTCAAAAACTGAATTACGTACTTTGAAAATTATTCCATCTTTTTCAAAACGTTTGCATTAAATATGATCCGTGCGCACTACTTCCGGAACTGATTCCGGCTTAACGGCTGCCCCCTCGCCGCATGAGAGGGAAGCGATAAGGAACACATGCCCCCTGCCGAGGCGGGAGGGGGGGGGCATGAAGGACTCGCCTGCCAACACGTCCCCCGTCCCCACGGGGTGGGGGAGGGGCGGATGGCGGTGGAAAAAGGCAAGGGGCAAAAACGCATTCCCCCGCCACCACTTCGCACACAAGGCGAAACGGACGATTTTTCCCCTCGTGATTTCAACCCGGTTCAGCAGTACTAATCTACAATTTTCATTTCGACTCTACTTAAAAATAGTCCCATCTTTGCCAATGAAGCAAATTTAACATGGGGACATTCAAGACCAAATAAACCTTTTTAGGTCCAAGTAAAGTGTTTCTGCATCTAAAGGTTGATTTTTTTTAATTAAAATCATTGTAACTCCTTGTTATCTAATGAAATGTTCCCTATGTGGCACCTGGTCTTAAAAGTAATTTTATTCACCTGGTCCTCAGAAGGTTAAAGGTAACTAATTGTAATAAATTTCAAGAAAGAGAAACGATATGCTGCAAGGAATTAAGAACGTCAAATATCAACCATTACCTAATTTTCTTATCGAAATTCTCCCCCTTACCCTCACCCTCCAAAATACTATTCGGATTCCCCCTGGAATATAAAGATATTAAAAACGGCTGTGTAAAAAAAGTATTGATCCGCCTGGAAAGGGTAGAGGTGTATAATTATATTTTGTTTTTGTTTCTTGCTTTTTTCAAAATATCGGTCTTTATTGTTATTATTGGGTAAATTAAGAATTCGTCTCAACATATTGTAATGAATCGAAATAAGTAACTGGTTTTTAATTGAGAGGTTTTCGAAATAATATATTTGAAGTTAGAGATTCAATTAATTAATAGAACTATTTAATTTAGCGTAGTGAGTTTCTCTTGACTCACACCGACTTTAAATCTGAAGTTTTCAGCCCCAGATAGGTGTATTTCGGTGGTTTTTGTATTATTGGTGGTTTTTATTCACTACATTGCATAGTTTAAGCCTAACGTATAGAATATCTATCCTTTCTTTCTGATTTTCTGCGCACCCTTGAATAAATACTAGAATACAGCAGAACAATATATTTTTGGAAGGCAATGACACATTTAATATTTGGATTTCAATACATTGCAACACTGGTACAGCGTGTTTTAAAAACATAAGGCGTGTGCAGTCCAAACAAAAGAGGGAAGGCAACTACATTTTCACTCGCTTTTTTTCAATTACACTTTTTTATATTTTTACACAGACATATTTTACTTGTAAAAAATAAAGATACACAAGATAACTAAATATGAACTTAAAGATACAATTAAATAAATACCAATTGGTTTTATGCCTGAAATGTCAATTGGTTGGAGATTTCTCATCCCCATCTTTTATAACAGATTTTCCAGACTGTCCAGAAAGAAGGGAAAATCAGGTATTTAACACATTTACGGAATACCACAAAAAATTATAATATTTTACAAGATCGTGAAAATGTCTCTCACCCAGTGCGCAAGCGCGTTCACAAATACGCTGCCCATCACCTCCAACCCGGGAAATGTCCCGCAACGCGCCGCCGCCGCCGGCCGGTGTTCGATCTGTTAGCTTGCACGAACGAGCCTGTGGGGCCGCCGGCCTCGACCCAGTCCTCGCTCGGCGGCGCGCTGCGGCTGCGCTGCGGCGGCGGCGGCGGCGGCGCGGCTGGCGGCGGGCGGCGGCGGCGCGGCGGCCGGCGGCAGCATGGCAACGTGCGGGAGCTGGCTGGCTGCGGGTCGCCGGCGCGGCGGTCTTGCAGCGGAGTCGGCCCGCTCCACCCGCCGCGCCGCGTGCCGCCGCCGCCGCGCCGCGGCGCATATACCGGTTTCCCACAGCCAGCACCGCACACTGCGCGTTGAACACCGCACTCTTTTCTGGTCCGCTGAACATCGCGACAGGGGCCGGAGCGCGTGTCGTGAAAGCGACTCCTGCTGGCGACGGACGGGGCGATGCACTGCTCGGGTGGGAGAAGCCTCCGTTACTTTTGGG